GGGACTTGACCAGGGGAGGGGGAGGGAAATGGGAGGCTGTGGCGGGGAGGAGGCAGAAATCTTTAATAAAAATAAATTAAAAAATTAAAAAAAAGAAAAATTAAGCTAGAGGTCATTTGTATTGTATTTATATTATATATATTTTTGTCCCAAATAATTCTTCTTTTTATTATACCTTAGAATTTGTGTAAGACTAAATTAAAAAAATTAAAGAGTTGATTTCTTTTTTTTAATATTTTATTTATTTATTATGTATACAATATTCTGTCTGTGTGTATATCTGCAGGCCAGAAGAGGGCACCAGACCTCATTACAGATGGTTGTGAGCCACCATGTGGTTGCTGGGAATTGAACTCAGGACCTTTGGAAGAGCAGGCAATGCTCTTAACCTCTGAGCCATTTCTCCAGCCCAAGGGTTGATTTCTTAGACAAAATGTTGATGCAGTTGGGTAGTTTTTACTGATGACTCACTCAGGTCTACAATGAATATTGAAACAAGTGGGACAGAAAGAAATAAGAAGTCTGTTTGATAGAGGAAAAAAGCACTGGGTAGTTTTATGTGGCAGTCCTGTGGAGAAACAGGCAGAAACTTTCAAGTAGGTTGTCACCATTAAAGAAAAACCCATTGCTCCAGAGTGGAAGCCTAGCAAGGTGTTCTAAGGGTAAGACTCCTTCCTGATAAACCTTCAGTTGACGGGAGGAGTAAGCAAAGTGATTTCAAGTTAAATGAATCAACTTCATGCAAAACCTACTGTGACTCTGGTCTGCGCAACTCTGGTAGGGTCCATTACAACTTAGCAGCCAAACTTGGCTTGATCACCCTGTCGTACTGGTTCTAGGAACAATAAAGATGCCAGATGTAAAAGTCATGGATTCTTCCTCTGTGCTTTCATTTCAGGACAGTTGCACCCATTTGCATTTTGCAGGGTCAACAACCTAGTGAGGACTCTTTGTGAGTTCATTGCATGAAGCTGTGAAGATAAAGCTTCTGTTCTTTTGAGAAAATAGGATAGTAATATACCTAAGCCATGAGACATTTGCTATGGATAGCTGCATACAGATAGAGGAAATAGCAAATGAGAGACATGAGTGAGAAGTTACAGGGATAGAGCTTTCTAAATTCTTTGAAAATGAAACCCCTTGTCTCTGAGACACAAATACAGGATTTTGTCCTGCTGGATTTTAATCTTGCTTTGATCCAATCTTCCCCCACCATCTCCACATTCTGCTTTCTTTTCTTTTTAAAATTCTTCCCTCATAGACTACATCTGAACTACAGTTTCCCGCCTTCACTCCTCTCGGTGCCCTTCCCTGCTTCATTCTCCTTCAGATCCCATCCTCCTCCATTTCCATTCTTAAGTGATATCTCCCAGTGATATCAACCAAATATGTCATATCAAGTTACAATAAGACTATGTGTAAACCCTCTAGTGACAGGTGTGGCCTGTGTTCTGTCAAACTTTCAGGAGGTCTTTGTGCAAGTTGGGGGATAAGAAAATGTGAAGAAGGCATGGGGACAGTGTGGTGTGGGGAACTTTGAGAGTGGGGATGTCTGCAGGCAGGTGGCCTACATGGACCTTTCACAGCTCATGTGACTTTTTTATAAACAGTACCTCCACCTATGTTGAGAGCTAGAAAAATATAACAAGACTGCAAGTGGGATTGGGAACAGTGTTTGGGGGAGCTACTCAAAGAGAGAAGAAGATCCATGGGTAGGATGACACAGGCAAAATATTGTCTTGAGTATCCAAAGAAGCTTTGGATATTTGAACAGTGTTAGGGCTGTTAAAGATTGTGAGGATCACTGATGTTAGACTTAAAGCATTTCCATTTCTTTTTGTTTATTCTTTTTCTTTGTTCCTCTCTCATACAGTACATTCTGGCCACAGCTTCAAATTGGTCTACCTCTCCTAGTCCCTCCCCAAACTTTCCACTCTCCCTCAGATGCCCTGTTCCCCCTTTTCCCTTCAGAAAAGAGCAGACCTCACAGGGATATCAAATGAACGTATCATAACAAGATACAATAACTCTAGGCAGAAACCTCCATATCCAGACAGGATTAGGAGAAAAAGGGTCTCAAGAGCAGGCAAAAGTGTGAAAAACACCCACACTCCTACTGTTAGGAGTTGCAGAAAAATATCAAGCTAAGCAACCACAACATCCATGCAGAGGCCGGGATCCAGACTCTGCAAGATCCATAATTGCTGTTTAAGGCTCTGTGAGCCCATATAATCCCTGCTTAGTTCTTTCTGTGGGCTGTGTTCTTCTGGTGTCCTTTACACCTATGGTTTCTATAATCTCCCTCCCAAATTTCGGCAGGATTCCAAGAGCTCCAGTTAGTGCTTGGGTGAAGATCTTTGGATCTGCTACAATCAGCTGCTAGAGAAAGCCCCTCTGTTGACAATTAGGCTAGGACCCAATCTATGATTGTATCAGAATTGATCTAGCAATCATTGTATTGGTCATTTTTTCTTTTTTTATTACTTGGATTTTGTTCTGCTCTAAATCTCTGAGCGATCTAACTCCTTGTTCCTTGCCATCCAGGCAATGTTGGGTGTTAGTTTCCTCTTTAGGCTTGGGCCTCAAGTTTGTGCAGTCATGGCTTTGCCACTACACCAATTAAAGCCAATTCCCTGGTATAACTTCCACACAGAACAAATGTGTGTTGAATATTTTATGACTGGGTTTTTTTTCATAATCCCACCATTGGGAGATAGCTATATGTGATTACAGATGATGATTTGTTCAGGTTTCATGTTCTTAATTACTGGGACCCTAGTCCTCACTAGGGTCACCCTCATAGTTTGTAAAATTTTCCAATGCACTAGGCTTCCACATTAACCCTAAAACCTTTCTTATTCTAGTCGTCTCTCCCTGTGTCCCTCCACTGATCCTTCCTGTTGCTGCACCCAGTCCACCCATAAAATCTAGTCTATTTTCTCTTCCCATGGAAGATCAATGCGTCCCCTGCTGCATCAATGTTTGTTACTTACCCTCTCTGGGTCTGTGGGTCGTACTGTGATTATTCTTTACTCGACAACTAAAATCTACTTACAAGTGAGTATGCATCATGGTTGTCTATGTGGTTTCAAATTTACTTGCTCAGAATAAAATGAAGTCAGGAAACTAGATACCACCAAATCAAATAATCCAATAAAAATGTGGTACAGATCTAAACAAAGAATTCTAAATAGGTGACTTTAAACTGGCTTAAGAACAATTAAATAAAGGGTTGACATCCATAGACAACAAGGAAATGCAAATCAAAACTCCTTTAAGACTTACTTTCATACCTGTCAGAATGGCTAGGATCAATAACACAAGTGACAGCTTATGCTGACAAGGATGTAGAAAAGGGGAACATTCTTCCAGTGCTGCTTGGAGCAGAAACCTTTATAGCCACTATAGAAATCAATATGGCAGTTCCTCAGATAATTGGGAATCTATTGACATCAAGAATGAGCTATACCACTGTGGTAGTTTGAATGTAGTTGGACCCCATAATCTCTTAAAGGGTGGCAATAGTAGAAGTGTGCTTATTTTGGAGTGAACACGCCCTTGTTAGAGGAAGTGTGTCACTGTCATTTGTTGAAGTATCTTATTCTTAGAATACTTCCCAGAGTGACAGATAACTTCCTGTTGTCTCTGAGTCAACATGTAAGAACTCTCGGTTCCAGCACTACATCTGGCTGCCTGTGTACATGTCCCAAGCCATGATGATAATTGCCTCAACCTCTGTAATTGTAAGTGAGCCACCTCAATTAAATATTTTTTTTCTTCAGAATTTCTGTGGTCGTGGTGTCTCTTCACAGAAATAAAAACTTAACTAAAACAAAAGTTGGTTCCAGGCACTGGGGTATTGCTCTGATAAATGTGACCATAGTTTTGCTTGGAATAAGATGGACTTTTGGACTTTGGCTTAGGAAAGGTATTCAATGCATTAAACACTTCATACTGGGTCATATTAGGAGCATGGGAGACCTTGATAATGATGTGAAACGTTGGGAAACACCTCTATCAATATCAGAGTAGGATTTTTGTATGTTGCCTAGAAACCATTCTCATGACATTTTGATGAAGGAAGTGGCTGAATTTTGCCTTGGTCCAAAGAATCAGCCCGAGGCTAACGTGAAGAGTTTTGATTAATACCCTTGGCAGAAAAAAAATCTCCAAACAGCCTAGGATAGACTCTTTCATGTGGATATTAGTGGTAACTCTACTGAAGATATATAATTAAAGGAGCAGCTGATCAAGGAAAAATACTTGAGGAGAAAGGGGGCTCTTGAAAGTGGAATGCAATTAAATCCTCTGTTCAAGGACATAAACAGATGAAGAAATGAAATAAGGAAAGTGGTGATCTGAGTGGGTGGTGGCACATGCTTTTAATCTTAGCAGGCAGAACACAGAGGCAGGCCTATCTCCATTAGTTCAAGGCCAGTCTAGTCTACTGAGCAAGTTTCAAGGAGAGCCAAGCTTAAGCAGTGAGAGACAGAAAGCTGGTGTCATTAAACAAGTGGCCATGTTCCAGCCCTAGTAAGCAGCAGAACCTGACAGATTTGGCCTTGTGGTTCTGGGTTGAGAGCTAAGGATAGAAGAAATACGTTCAGATCCTCTGGTTCTGGTTAGCTGGGGCTTAAGTATCAGCTGGATGATCAAGTTATCAGAAGTATTTAAATGAAATTTTGTTTTGCTGGGTACTTGATGCTGGTTGGCCAGAGCTAAGAAATCAGTGATGAATAAGGGACCAGCATCACTGATGTGAAAATGTCTGGGAAGTGTTTCCTAAGAGCACAGAGAAGCTGTCTTCCAGAGGTAGCCAAGGTTGTACCTCATGCTGATAGATGGAGTTTGTAATGTGTCTCACCCAGATGGTATTGGTTTTGAAGGTTGATGGATGTAAGACTTGGCACTGTGAGAGGCCAGGAAAGGACATCACTGAAGGTGTAGTCTCGTTGGCAGTTGAATGCCCAAAACTGTGAATGTTATGCCAAGAAGTAGACATGTGGCATCCTGAGAAGAGCCTAGGAGAGACCACTGGTGAAAGTGCAGCCCAGTTGCATCAACAGGCCCCAGTGTTTTTAGATGCCAGTACTGTGAAATGGTCACCGAAACAGCAGTGGCAGTGGAATTTAACCAGTCAGATTCTAGAAGACCAGCTGTGTGCACTGCAGAAGGCAGAGACTGTATTGACATAAGACCTGTGAAAAAGTCCAGAAGATCGTGACGAATCTAAGATATTGGAACACTGGAATTTTTTAATTACCCAAGATGTTAGAGATGCCAGGGTCATAGGTTACCTGCCAAGATGGGCTGTTAATGAGAAGTGGAACCAGCCCAAGAAACAAAAAGTGTTGCACTCAACATAGCTGATTACAGTAGGAGACCTGGAGAGCCATTGAACATAGAGTTAGGTATCATTATATTGATTTTTTTTCTTTTTTGTTACTTGTATTTGGTTCTACCCTGATTCTCTGAGTCATCCAGCTACTGATTCCTACTGAACTCTGAACTATATGATCATCCTGGCAGCATCGTGCTTCAGTTTAGGGCAGTCATTGGTTTGCCACTATACCAACCTTGAGCCACCATTTCCCTGTATAACTTCCAGACAGACAAGTGTGTTTCAAATATTTGAGGGTTGGCTAAGTTTCCTACTCCCACAACTGGGAGTTGTAGGTGATTTCAGAAGATGACTGTTCAGGCTCTATAGTATGAGTTACAAGGATTCCTCACCAGAGCCACCCTCATAGCTTTCAGAGGGTTGCTATGCATTGTTTCAACATCACTCCTTGAAAGCTTTGCTATTCCAGTCATCTCTCCCTTTGCTTTCCTGCTCTGTCCCTCCATTTACTCCCATGATCCTTTCTATTCTTGCGGTGAATTCACCCGCAAAATCTAGTCTATTTTCTCTTCCCATGGAAGATCAATGCACCCCGTGCTGTACCCTTTCTTGCTAATTACCCTATCTAGGTCTGTGGATTGTACTGTAATTATTCTTTACTCAACAGCTAATATCCACTTACAATGAGTATATATCATGTTAGTCTATGTGGTTTGGGTTTACTTGCTGAGAAGGAAAAAAAATTCAAGAAGCTACCCATCAACAAATAAATTAATGAATAAAAATGTGGTACAGATCTAAACAAAGAATTCTAAATAGATAAATCTAAAGTGGCTTAGAAACATTTAACTAAATGTTCAACATTCATAACCATCAAAAATGTAAATTAAAACATCTTTTAGAATTCACTTTATGCCACACAGAATTACTAGATTTAATAACATAAGGGACAACTCATTCTGGCAAGGATGTGGAGCAAGGAGAAGACTCCTCCATTGCTGCTGGAAATACAAAGCTTAAGGCCACTATCAAAATCAATATGGTAGTTCCTCAGATAATTGGGAGTTTATCTGCCTCAAGATTCAGCTATTCAACTGTGATAGTTTGTATGTAAGTGGTCCCCATAATCTCCTAGGGAGTGGCACTGTTAGCAGGGATGACTTCTTAGGAATGGTTATGGTCAAATAAGTCACTATCATGAGTGTTTTAAGAAACTTGATATTTAAACATTTTAGGGACTGTCCTAGCCTATGACAATCATTGAAGTTAAACTAAATACTTTTCCATCATGAGATGACTGTGAACATTCTGGGATCTGGGTCATAATGTAGTTGATTGAAGAAAAAGATCCCAGATAGAATGAAACATTAGAACATCTGTTTCTCCTTTATGCTCTTCTTTGTTTTTTTGTCAAACCTTTAGTGGGAGGAGTCTTTTGGATGAAATTACTCATTGGGGATAAGATTTACACGTTTATAGCCTCAACTTATTTCTGGTTATTTGTGTTTTGCTGTCATGACTGTATAACTAAATGGCAAAACATACAATTGACACAATTGTTATTCATTGTTAACCCTTTGTGTTATCTTGATTTTTATTTTAATTTTTTGTTTTAAGTTTTATTTTTAAAGACAATGCTTTTCTGTGTATCTCTGGCTGTTCTGAAGGGAGCTCCTGAGACCACGCTGACCTGAACTCAGAGATCCACAACAGAGGGATTAATGGTGGAACAACATACTTGTTTTTCTGTATTTAATATTGGCTAATGAGCCTGGAATGTAGATTTTTGTACATTTAAATTATATTTTGGTATGCTGAACTTCACCTATATCTTGAATTTTGAAGTTTGGTGGAGAGTATCATTCTCTTTCTGAGAATAACAGTATCCATGGCATTAAAACCTGTGCCTTCTTCATCATTGCAGGTGTATGACATTCTACCTGCCTGTTATTTTTGTTTCAATTCTATTGAATGAATAAGAGTTTTTGCCTACATTCATGGGTATGTACTGTATGTGTGCATGTTACTCAGAGTAGTCATAAGAGGCCTCAGAACCCACGAAGTTGAAGTAATGGATAGTTATAAGCCTGATGTAAGTACTGGGAATTGACCGTTCCTATCTGCAGACCAGCAAGACCTTTTAATTTCTGAGCCATCTCTCCTGCCCTATGTCATTTATAATCAACAGTTATAGTGCTGACGTGTTTTGGACCATTTGTAACTGTTTAAATATGCACTCCCTTTTAGCAAGATCTTATTATGTTACAGTTTAAACTGGGCCATTGCAGGTTCTGGAAGATGAATGCAAATCTAGAGTGAATACAAAACTTTTTGTAGGAACCTCAGTAAAAATATCTGATTTCTTTTTACATTTTTTGTTTGAATGATGTTTTTTGAGTGGAGGTGTTTTATTATTTGTAACTCTGGCTTACCTGAACTCACTGCATAGGTTTTGATTGGCACACAACTCAATTTAATTCATCTGCTTTTACATTGAGTGCTGGTATTAAAGGCATGAGAAAATATACCCAAGTTTCCCATCTCTTTTCTAGATAATAATTGTCCATACTATTTCTCTGATGAATTCTCAGTAGCATTTATCTGTTTGCATATCTCTCTCTGTATGTGTGCTCATTGGCACTTCTTCTTCAAGGCTGTATCCTAGTTAAAGGGCCTAGAAATGGCACATGTGAAACTCCTTCCTATTCATTTTCCTTCTAATGTGACTTGGTGCTTCCATTATAATGCCTTCATCATGGAAGAAATGAGGGAAGCATCAGAATTATATGAATATATTATTTGAAAGAAGTATCCAGTTACAATGGCAGAATAACACATTATTTTATCATTGGTTGGATTATTCTAGAATGCAGTGACCTATGATGATGTGCACATTGACTTCACTTTAGATGAGTGGGCTTTGTTGAATCCTTCTCAGAAGAGTCTCTACAAAGATGTGATGCTGGAGACGTACAGAAACCTCACTTCTATAGGTAAGACTGTGAATTTTCCTTCACGTTTTAAATTAAGGGGACAACTGTGTCTTGGTTATTGACACTCTTGTGTATTTGATTGAGAAGGTGTAAGAATGAGGTGAATAACTTTACTTAAGATATTAAATTTTGAACAATTTCCAATAATATATCATACATTTTCTGGAACTATATTTTAGGCTACAGTTGGGAAAACCATAATTTTGAAGAACATTGTCAAAGTGCTAGAAGACATGGAAGGTAATTTTTATGTGCAACTTGATATAAATTTGTCTCTGAAAAAAAATTGTCCCAGAAGAGGTAAAGAAAAGCAACAGTATTAATAAGCTTAACATATATTGATGATTATTCATAGGCTTGCTTATTAGGTAGCTAATCTGTATTTTTAGGGCTTTCCTCTAAAAACCAAGACAAGTAAACAATGACTTATCTGATACCACCAATTGAATCATAGCCCCATGGGAACTATGCTGTAGAACTGCCAATTCATTTAGTTTAGTATCACTCTGAAACTGAACAAGGTATACAGATTGACTAGATGATAATTATGTATCCAAAACTGTCTAAGAAATAAAAGGTCTGCAGTAACACTAGTGTCGTTCATATACTTGTTACTTCGCTGACCGTATTGGAAGGGTTAGTTTATGAGACTTAAAAAACCTCTTGTGAAGAAATCTTAATCTCTATACCACATATTTGTGAGGAATAGAAAGTCAAACTGTATGAATTCAGTGGAGAAATCTTTTATTTGTTCTTCCTTTAATAAGAATATCATATGTCACTCTGGCTACAAACAAGTGACCATAGGGATATGGAAAAATGACTGGATCTCTCTCAGAATAATGAGAAGATATAAAAGATATTTGATATTCTAACATTGATTAGACTTTTTGAATATGATACTAGTTTATATTTAATTGCTTTTCCAACTTCATTTGGAAGACATCAACATACTCACAATAAAAATCAGTCCTATGAATTTTGGACTGTTTAGTTACTTTTGCTAGTCCTGGTACACTTACTTATGTATTATGTATTGCACTATAAAATAACATAACAATGTAATACATATGGTAATGTTTATTTAAAACTGAGTTGCTCCAGTTCCTTTCAAATATTAAAAAAAAATCATATGAAAAGATTCCATAAATGTGGGCATGAAATAAAGGCTCTTATCATTATAGGTTTTTCAAAGACACAGAACACTACTTAATGAAGTAGTGCATTGATTAGACTTTTTGAATATGATACTAGTTTATATTTAATTGCTTTTCCAACTTCATTTGGAAGACATCAAAATACTCACAATAAAAATCAGTCCTATGAATTTTGGACTGTTTAGTTACTTTTGTTAGTCCTGGTACACTTACTTATGTATTATGTATTGCACTATAAAATAACATAACAATGTAATACATATGGTAATGTTTATTTAAAACTGAGTTGCTCCAGTTCCTTTCAAATATTAAAAAAAATCATATGAAAAGATTCCATAAATGTGGGCATGAAATAAAGGCTCTTATCATTATAGGTTTTTCAAAGACACAGAACACTACTTAATGAAGTAGTGTACCATGAATACAAAACTTAAAATCTGAGTATTCTTTACAATTAGACAAAATAATAAAATTAATTCATACAGATATTAAGATTCATCTGTTTAATGCATGTGGAAAGCTTTTCCTCTGCCAATTTTCTTTGCAGGTATGAAAGAAGCCATACTGGAAAGAAACCCTGTGAATATACTCAATGTGTTAAAGCCTTTTCATGTTGCAGTCATCTTCAAGGATGTGAAAAAATTCCTGCAGGACAGAAACCATATGATGGTATTCAATATGATGAAGTGTCTACATGTCCCAGTCATCCCCAGATACTTAAAAGAACACATGCTATAGGGAAACCCCATGAATGTAATCAATGCAGTAAAGCTCTTGTCAGTCATGTTCAGCTTCAAAAACATAAAAGAAGACATACTTTTGAATGTAATCAATGTGATAAAGCTTTTTCACGAAACTATAAACTCCAAATGCACAAAAGAACACATACTGGTGAAAAACCCTATGAATGTAATGAATGTGGTAAAGTCTTTGCATATCACCATTATCTACAAGTGCATAAAAGAACACATACTGGTGAGAAACCCTACACATGTGATCAATGTGATAAAGCCTTTTCACAGAATTGTAATCTCCGAGTACATCAAAGAACACATACTGGCGAGAAACCCTACAAATGTAATCAATGTGATAAAGCCTTTTCACAGAATTGTAATCTCCGAGTACATCAAAGAACACATACTGGAGAGAAACCTTATCAATGTAATCAATGTGATAAAGCTTTTGCAAGCCATGGTGACCTTCGCAGACATAACAGAACACATACTGGAGAGAAACCTTATCAATGTAATCAATGTGATAAAGCTTTTGCAAGCCATGGTGAGCTTCGCAGACATAACAGAACACATACTGGAGAGAGGCCCTTTGTATGTAATTAATGTGATAAAGCTTTTTCAAGGCACTCCCAACTCCAGATACACAAAAGAACACATACTAGAGAAAAACACTATGAATATAATCAATGTGGTAAAGCCATTTCATAGGTCAGTAGTCTCTAACTTCACAAAAGAACATATACTGAAGCTAAAACCTATGAATGTAATCAATGTGGTAAAGTTTTTTCACAACTTAGTAGGAACCAAAATAATAAAAAATACACGTGATGGAGAGAAGTCTTATTAATGTAATCAATGCAGTAAGGCTTTTGCAATTCATTGTGAGCTTCACAGACATAAATGAACACATAGACGAAGGAGCTCTTTAATGCAATCAATGTGATAAAGGTTTTTCATGATGCTCTAAACTCCAAATGCATGAAAGAAAATATATTGGAGAGAATTCTTATCGATGTAATCAATACAGTAAAGCCATTTTATATGTCAGTGTTCTCCAACATCAGAAAAGAACACATACTGTAGAGAAACCTTATAAATATAATCAATGTAGTAAAGGCTTTGTATGTCACAGAAGTCTTTATATCCATGAAAGAACACATACTTAATAGAAGCAATACAAATTTAGCCAATGTTGTAAAACCTTTGTATGTATTATCACTTTTAAAATCATGAGAAAGAATCACACTGCTGAGAAACTTTTTTGTACTTTCTTTTTTTGTTATTAAAAAATTTCCACCTCTCATTTCCTTCCTCCTCCCCCACCCCATCCCCCTCCCTCTCCAGTCATAAGAGCAGTCAGGGTTTCCTGCCCTGTGGGAAGTCCAAGGTCCTCTCCCCTCCATCCAGGTCTAGGAAGGTGAGCATCCAAGCAGACTAAGCTCCCACAAAGCCAGTACATGCAATAGAATAAAAACCCAGGGCCATTGTCCTTGGCTTCTCAGTCAGCCCTCATTGTCAGCCACATTCAGAAAGTCCAGTTTGATCTCATGCTCCAGCTGGCCTTGGTGAGCTCCCATTAGATCAACCCCACCGTGTCAGCGGGTGGGCACACCCCTCACAGTACTGACTTCCTTGCTCATGTTCTCCCTCCTTCTGCTCCTCATTTGTACCTTGAAAGCTCAGCCCAGTGTTCCAATGTGGGTCTCTGTCTCTATCTCCATCCATTGCCAGATGAAGGTTCTATGGTGATAAGCAAGATATTCATCAGTGTGGCTATAGGATAAGGCCAGTTCAAACACCCTCTCCTCAGCTGCCCAAGGAACAAGCTGGAGACATCTCCTTGGACACCTGGAAACCCCTCTAGAGTCAAGTCTCTTGCCAACCCTAAAATGGCTCCCTTAATTAAGATATCTACTTCCTTACTCCCATATCCACCCTTCATCCCAACCATCCCATTTCCCCAAGCTCTCCCCATTTTCCCCTTCTCCCTTCTCTCTCTCCATCTCCCCTTACCCCCCCCCCCAAGCTCCCAATTTTTGCCTGGCCATCTTGTCTACTTCAAATATCCAGGAGGATAACTGTATGTTTTTCTTTGGGTTCACCTTATTTAGCTTATCTAGGATCGTGGATTATAGGCTCAATATCCTTTATTTATGGCTAGAATCCACTTATGAGTGAGTACATCCCATGTTCATCTTTTTGGGTCTGGGTTACCTCGCTCAGGATAGTGTTTTCTGTTTCCATCCATTTGCACCCCTTCCCTTCTGCGGGGTCATAAGATCCCCCAGCTCAACCTGTTTTGGGGCTGGGACGGGGTGGTGAGTGCAACTGGGCAGGCGTTCCTTTGTTTCACTAACCCTGCACACAGCAAGCTAGTCTTTTTGTCTTCGAGGTCCATGGCCAGCAAGGGGCCCTGATCCTGTACCAGAAGATCCATCGGAGGGGTGAGTGTGTTCCTGACCAGCCGGCAAAAGCCCCAGAAAGGGAACACAGACATTCCTCAACCCCCTTAACTTTCTGGTCCTTCTGCAGGGGCTTCTGTCCCCTGCTACTGCCTCTCTCTATCCCATCCCAGCTTGCTCCCACATACCCCTTCCCTTTCTTTGGGGTCATAAGATCCCCCAGCTCAGCCTGTTTTGGGGCTGGGACAGGGTGGTGAGTGCAACCAGCAGGGTTTCCTTTGTTTCACTGAGCCTGCAGGCAGCAAGCTAGTCCTTTTGTCTGTGAGGTCCCTGGCCAGCAAGTGGTCCTGATCAGAAGATCAGGTGAGTGTGTTCCTGACTGGCCGGCAGAAGCCCCGGAAAGGGAGCACAGACACTCCTCAACCCGCTAAATTTTCTGGTCATTCTGCAGGGGCTTCTCTCCCTGGCTGCTGAGAAAATTTTTAAAAAATTTCTGAGACAGGATTTCTTTGTAGTGTTGGAGTCTGTCCTGGAAATTATTCATTGACCATGCTGGCCTTGAAGTGTCTGTCTATTCCTTTCAAGTTCAGGGATTAAAGGTGTGTGACACCATAGTCTGGCCAGAGAAAATGTGTAATGAGTATGGTAAAGTTTTACTCTTCATAGTAATCTTTATATAAAAAATGAAAGAGAACTTACGTGGTTGGCACCTAGATCTACTTCTCAGGGTCCACTATGGTCACTGAAGGTTATTTGCCTTTTGCTGTTTGGCACAGGGCCTGCCAGGCTCCAGAAGATCCTGTGGGATTAGAAATCTGTCGAAAGACAAGCCTACCTTGACCTGAGCAGTGAGGCTGTTGATTCCAGTGATTCTTTCCACTGTCTGGTGATCTTCGGTTCTGATGAAAGGCAGTTTTTTCCCAGTGGTCAGTGCTTGGCAGTTGAAGCGAACTGCAGAAGGATGTAGTTCTGTGCCCATTTATCTTCTGTCTTCTTTGGAGAAAGTAGAGTACTACTAGGAGCCAAACTGTCTCTTTGTGTTATAAAAAGTTTTTTCATAATTAAATATTTAAATGGAATATTCCCCAGATCTCTGAGCAGTTGAGGGTTGTTTATCAGGTGTAACTACAGTATAGAATCTGCCTGGAGAGCTGGGTCTGAGCTTGACTGTACTGGTTCTTAACTTAACCGGTAAGACTTACACTCATAAAAAGATGGAAAGAAGACAAAACTGCTTGCAGTAGAAGGTTAATGGCAGAACTGACAATATAGAGAACATCTTAATATATTTTAAATGAGGGTTGGATTAAATATAAAGTATTTTTGTAAGAAACTTAAAAGTACATATTAGTTTAAAACATAAGACTTAATTTTTTTATAGTCTGAAATGAGATGCAATGAACAATTATAATATTTAACAGTAAACAGGTGCATTTAAGTCACATGTATGCACACACACACACATGCACAGTGAACAGGAATTGGACTAAGTGGATGCTTTTTGTGGGTCCTACCAAAGGCATGCCACTGCACAAAACACACATGCAACAGAGTCATCAAGAGGAATTTAGAGACAAAAACATAAGTAAACTGGGGATACCTCAGTAAAGATGATGGGACTTGGTCATCTGACCAGGCTCTCAGGTAAGTTGGCAGTGAAGTCACCTAACCTCAGTTAAGATGGCTATCAGGTCACCCATGTAAAAGAGTTAACACTGGGGAACCAGGCATGAAACACCTCAGAATGGCAGAAGTTGGTCACCTGACCTGGCTCTCAACCAAGATGGTGGCAAAGTCACCTTGACCTCAGTCAAAATGGGAGTGGTCACATGTTGTCTGGAAAAGCCACAATTTATGAGTTGAAGGGATTTCAAGTTAACTAATAAGAGAGACCTAGAGGCATGATATGCCCTGTTGCGGAGCAGCCATGCCACGTGCCATAATGGGAAGCAAAAGGCTGGAATTGAAAACAGCCACCTCTGCCGGGCAGTGGTGGTGCCTGCCTTTAATCCCAGCCCTCAGGAGGCAGAGGCTGGTGGCTCTCTGTGAGTTCAAGGCCAGCCTACAGAGCAAGTCCCAGGACAGGCTGTTAAAAGCTACAGATAAACCCTGTCTTGAAAAGGAAAAAGAAAAAAAAAACCTGTGAAAACAGCCATCTCATGGGTCCGACCAATCTTGTTGGCAGCACTAGTGGTGATGGGGCAATTTGAGGAAACTCCTTCAATTTGCCTGTGTTCTGACAGTAGTTAGAAAACTCCTGCAAAAGTGGAGCTGTTGGGACACCAGCAGAGTGAGGGTAGGAGCTGAAGAAGTAGGGCATTAAAACCTAGGGTTTTAGGGCCTCTAAAAAGCATCCATCCCAGTGTGAGGCTGAATTGATGGGCATTGATTGCTTGCTAACCGTAGCTGAAACCATGTAAACCTGTGAAAGCGGTGATACCACAAGGCCTATAGGAAGATGTCTCCCTGTGAATACTGCATGGATTGTAGGAGAGTGTCCTCTGCCTACAGCCAGGATACTAAAGCCTGACTGATTCTGAGGGTGGCTCAGAAGCCAGAGAGGCCAGAGGCTACTCTGAGTAGCCTTTCACAGCATGGGGGG